GTGGGAAAATGTGAATTTTGGTTTGACGAGAAAATAGAATTTCTTGATTTTGGCCGGAATAGGCGATTTCTCGTTTTTCGAGGAAAAATAATTTTTTTGGTTTTGACAAAAAAAAATTTTTGTTTTTGTATGAAGATGAATTTTTTTTGGTTTTGGTGAGAGAACGTGATTTCTTGGTTCTGGCGAAAAACACAGGTTCTCGCGGGAATATGTGTTTTCTTGGTTTTTGCGGAAAAATACAATTTTTTGGTATTGGTGAAAAATGAAATTTTTGGTTTGGCGAGAAAATAAAATTTCTTGGTTTTTTTGGGAATATGCAATTTCTTAGTTTTCGTGAGAAAAAGATTTTTTTATTTTAACGAAAAATGTGATTTTTTCAGTTTTTGTAAGAAGATTAATTTTTTTGGTGGTAAAATTCCAAGTTACCATATGTTTACAGTTACCAAAATTTAATTATTTAACTTATGCTAAATAGATATTTCAACAATTCAAATAGAATTTTCTATTTAATTCTAAAACAATAATAATGGTTTTGATATTAATGTTATTGATTATAGTTTGGTGGTTTTAAACATATGTTTATAACAAATATTTAAAATAATTATATTAATTAATAAATTTTTTAAAATTATATTTTGCTTTATATAATTATAAGAGAGGATCAAGTGGCAATTTAGTATTAAAAAATAGATTATATTTGCCAGTAGTATGAAAGTAATTAAAAGTATATTATTTTATTTTTACATATACATTTACAGTTAATTAAACATATTTTATAGCAAATTACAATTTCGAAAAATAAAATAAGGATATACAATGTTAATTCAGATTTAAAACATATAAATACATAACTTAAGGTAATATATAATATAAATAAAATATTATATTTATTTATATTATAAAAATAATTTTATTATATTAAAAATATCTAAAAATTTTAGAAAAATACCCTGCAGCGTAGCACGGATAAATACCTATTCTATACTATAAAAGATGGGATTCTTGCAAAAATGACCTAAAATTTGATTTGAATTGCAAATCTAACCCACAAAAATCACCTTTCCAACATTTGCCATTTTGTGTCCAAACAATCCTTCATAGTTTCAGTTATTCACGAAATTGCCATTATTTTTAATTAATTTCTTTTATTTTCAGAAATCCAAATGACCAACTAATTCTCATCTTCTTCACTTATTTACGAAAATGCTCCGAAAGTAGACTTTTCTCGGTCCGAATGAAGTCTACTAGTTAACGCCCAAGTTAGTTTTGCAATTGACCGCATGAAAAAGTAGACTTCTTTTGGTCTGAATGAAGTCTACTCTATTTCCTTTGATAACAAAAAAAATGGAGTAGACTTCTCGAGTAGACTTCTTTAGATGCAGGTCATTTTTGTAATTGACCAACATTTGATTTGTAGAGTAGACATCTCTATGAAAAGTAGACTTCTCCGAGAAGTCTACTTTCGTAAGTAGACTTCTCGCAGGTCATTTCTGCAATTGAAAAATATTTGACTTTTTTGACTTCTCGGGGAAGTCTACTTTCGTAAGTAGACTTCTCGCAGGTCATTTTTGCAATTGACCAAAAAGTCAAATATATTCAGTTGCAAAAATGATCTGCGAGAAGTCTACCTACGAAAGTAGACTTCCACGAGAACTCTACTCTGAAAAGTAGACTTCTCAGAGAAGTCTACTTTCGTAAGTAGACTTCTCGCAGGTCATTTTTGCAATTGACCAAAAAGTCAAATAATTTTTAATTGCAAAAATGACATGCGAGAAGTAGACTTCTCCGAGAACTCTACTTTTCATAGAGAAGTCTACTAATCTTTTGGCAATTGCAAAACTAATCTACGAGAAGTCTACTTTTATCCGAGAAATCTACTTTTCTTGTTTTTTAAAAAAAATCATTTTTATACAATATTTAACGAATTTTTAAGATTTTCGTGATCCTAAGCTTCTGTTATTAAGTTTTCTTGCTTATGCATAAGTTTTACATATTTATATTTTATAGATATAGTCGAATCAGTTTTCATGTTTTATATGATACTTAGCTTATTAAGAGTAGTCTTCTTAGTCAACTCTAGAAGTCTACTAAGTAGACTTCATCTGACTTTCAGAGAAGTCTACTTATTCAATTTTGATGTCTAATGTGGTTTGGATTTTGTTCATTTTCACAGAGAATGGTTTACATACTCGCTGTTTATGGAGAATAGGTTAAGAGTGAATCAGTGTGGCAGTTCGAGGTGGATAATAGCAAAGGAGGGCGAATGTTGTTCTTAAGAGATGATTGCACACATGGTGAGCTTCTTGGTGTATGTTGGCAAAGGAGGGCGAATAGCAAAGGAGGGCGAATGTTGTCACCTTTAAGTTATGTAAAATTAATGTCTTTAAGAAGTCTACTCGAGACAGGAGAAGTCTACTTCAGAAGTCTACTCGAGATAAGAGAAGTCTACTCGATTGACAAGTTATATGATATAAATGAGAGAAATGTCCCTTTGAATCACTTTAAAGTTATGTAAAATTAATGTCTTTTAGATATCTACTCGAGACATGAGAAGTCTACTCAAGACAAGAGAAGTCTACTCGGTTGACAAGTTATATGATATAAATGGGAGAAATGTCCCTCTGAATCACTTATAAGTTATGTAAAATTAAAGTCTTTAAGAAGTCTATTCGAGACAGGAGAATTCTATTTTGTAGAATAGATAAACATAGATAATTTAGGAATTTGATACAAAACATTCAATGCAATTCAACATTACATAGAAAATAACCCTCTAAACAAACAAACATTTAAGGATCACTAATTATAAATCTTAAAACTGACATAAGAAATTACTACTAAACTAAAATCTCTAAAAATTATGTATGCAACTAAAGTCTGCTTGAGAAGTCTGCTCGAGATCGAGAAGTCTACTCGAGAAGTCTGCTCGAGATCGAGAAGTCTACTCGAGAAGTCTGCTCGAGATCGAGAAGTCTACATTCAGATCAGCAAAAAAATCAACAAAATTCAGCTTTGCAACAATAACAAAAAATTTAGATCTGCAACAAAATTCAGATCTACAACAAAATCTATAAAATTTATACAACAATAAACTCAGATCTACAAATATAAACTTAGATCTACAACAATAAGCTCAAATCTATGAAGCTCAGATCTATAATAATAATCTACTATATTTATAACATTCAGATCTATACAAAAATCTACAAAATTCAGCTCTGCAATAATAACAAAAAAATTTACAAAATCTACAAACTTTATACAACAATAAGCTCAAATCTATAATAATAAGCTCAGATTTGCAATATGAACACAAAGCAAACAAAAAGAGGAACACAAAAGCTCAGATTTGCTTACCACTACCATAACCTGCAAGTGAGAGGAGGTTGAATGCAAGATAGAGAGGATGAAGAGGATATTGATATCAAGAGAGGAAGGAGAAGAAGTTCATGGCCAGAGAGAAGGGAGAAGAGAGAGAGGCATTTTTAGATAGAGAAAGACTTTATTGTTAATACAATTAGGTTAAACTCTCCTTATATATGTAGAAAAAAATTCGTTTAAGTAGACTTCTCCAAGAAGTTTACTCGAGAAGTCTACTCGAGAAACCGAGAAGTCTCTTAGTATTGATTTTTATCCTAATTTATCTATGGTGATTTAAATTGATTATTTTCTGTCAAATTTTATTTTTAATAGGTGTAAAAAAGTATATATTTGTTGTTATGTATCTAATTTTTTTATCAAATTATCTTTTATGATTTTTAAAATTAATTGTAAACATATTATTAAAGAGTAGACTTCTTGGAGAAGTCTACTCGAGAAGTCTACTTAACTTCTCGAGTAGATTTCTCTGGGATAAAATAGTAATTGAGGTGGACATTTTTTTGTTTGGTCATTAGGGTTAAAGTTGTAATTTTACTACTTCTGTGAGTTATTTTTGTCAAACATGCAATAAGGGGTCTAGTTTTGTATTTCAACTCAAGTTTTGAGTCATATTTAGCAATTCCCCCATAAAAGATAGCTAACTCTCTTCATATGAGTGTCACCTCATCATTTTAGTTTATTGTAAAAATGACATGTGTCATTTTTTAAATTTAATGATACAAATTATATAAAATACAGTTAATGCATAAATTTAATGGATTATTAATCATGATACCAAAATAATATGAAAAATATGAAGTATTAGATAATATATTTTTATAACAATATATACTTTTTATCCAAAAATAATTATTAAATATCTATTTTATGACAGTTTTTAAAAATCATTAAAATATTAATTTTTCTTATTTAAGAGTGTTTTCTTATTTCTAATTAATATCATAAGTTATTATTATAAAAAATTATACAAATGTAAAAAACAAATTATTTGATATTTTGAACCTAAAAAAATCAGACAAAAAATGTATACAATATTATAATAAACTTTAAAACAATTTCCTTATAAACTAATAAATATTTGATAATTTATTTTATTCAAACTTGATCCATTAATAATTTTTATTAATAAAAAATCAAAGTCCTAATATATTTAATTATAAAATTTTTAATGCAATTATAAATCAATTATTTAAGCTCAGAAAATATAAAACGACGGCGTTGCTATTGTGTAAATCTACGCCGTGAACAAATACTATCTGTTAAAAAGAGTCGTCTCTACCTATGTTGTGCTTGCAAAGTTTTTCTAATTAATTTTTGTTATATAATACTTCTCTGATTTGCAGTATATCCATTTAATATATTCTATGTATACAACATATAACATATTTCACATTTTCTTATCAATAAACCATTTATCACATATATAGTTAATATCCACATAATATGTAATTATATATTGTATGTTTATTCAAATATACAACTTCCTTAAGAAAAATTTAAAATACGATAAAATAAATTGTAACTACACTTTTTAACAAATTATATTGTAATAAAAGATCTGCGCATCGCGCGGATACTCATCTAGTAACAATAAAGGATTTTGGGTTACAAAATTCTTCTATGGCTACTCAAGGATGTATTAAATAAAAAACAGAAGTCATTATCTTCCTTTGATGAACTTTATACATATAATCATCATTGATTCCATCGACATTCCGTAGGAGGAACAGAAAATCTAGACCGATCCGAACAATAATCGTAGTTCATGAACTTCGCTCTCACATTCTTCAATGCCTTAAGTTCGTATGCACTTAACATTCTATACTTCCTCGTATTCCACCAGTATGTTGCTGAACCACATACTTTGGCGTTAATGTTCCGACCATCCGCATGACAACCAGAATTAGCAAACCTTTGGAAATTGGCTTTAAAAGGAGCGTACGACCAATCAGTTTTGGCTTTACCACCGTCTGTTGCCCATTTCTCGCCGTTCCACAGACTAGCCACCACTTTCATGGCCTTTGATGGATAGCCTACGCCATATCTTCTGTTGTTTTTGAATATCCTTATTGGAATTTTGTCCACATAAAACCTATTATCGTGAGAAAGTAAAAAATGTTATCATTGCATCATGGTACTCTAAAAGATAATTACATGAAACTGACTACTAAAATGTTTTGAATTGTTGGGTCTAACGTCTGTATTCATCTAACATTCCAAAAGAATTTCGCCTTAATTTAGTTAAAACTCTGCGATATTGTTAACCTCTGAATTTTATGGTGATGTTTCTATTTTCTATGATAGAAGAAAATAAAAAAAATGAGTGTGTATATTTTCTGCCTAATGGGTAATTATGTAAACAAAATATATTCAAGGAGAAAAAAAACATACACAATTTGATACGGATTCCAAAGAATTCCATAAGTGTGGAAATCTTGGGTTGGATCGAACCAAAGAACAAACTTTTGTTCTCTATTTCCTTGACCATTTGTAAAGACATTTGTTTGAAGTGCTATCGGTCTTCCTCCTCTATTCCCCAAGAACTCAAAGTCAAGTTCGTCGTGGGTGTTTCCCTTGGAAGTTAACTGTAACCAATACACAAATGATAAATAAACAAATTCACAATGTTGAAAGTTGAAGTTAATTATAAAAAAAAAGTTGTTATGAGTAAATAAGAGGTGAGCGTACATAAAAAGCTGTGACAACTCCAGCGGAATCTTGTGCAGGTAGTTTGATCCTCATTTGGAAGAATCCTGATCCGTAGTTGTGCTTAGACTCAAAGGCAGAACCTGTTTGTAAAATAAATTAACAAAAATAAAGTTGTTTTACTAAAACTAAAAAAGTAAGAACGTAAACTCTGAAACTGTTTGAATTATATGTAATAAATTTTTTATTGGTTGAATTATTTTAAAATTGATGATAAAACAGTTTTTATTTGTATGTAAAAATCTTAAACACCATCTAATAAAAATGGAGTGAATATTATTTTAAATTTTAAAAAGATTGTATTTTGAAAGGAATAAATTAATGTACCTGCAGCTTTATCCATGGAGAGCTGGACTTCTTTCCCTTGGTTGAGTTTCAAGACATTTCCCCACGTAACAACATAGTTCTCATCGAACGCTCTACCTCCACGAGCCCTAGCATCAGCCATAACGATTAAGAACATTATTGAAACAAAATATAATATTGGAGATGTAGACATTCCCTTATTCATTTTAAATGTTGTGTTTTTTTTGTCAATTCTCTATTCTTCTTAGAACGGATCAGAGATCCAAATCCTTGGTAAATATCATGTTGAGTGGAGAGATATGCCTCTTTTTATACTCATGTGTATTAAGGGTGTTAATTAGAGAATTGATTTGGTAAAAAAGTTATTTTGGTCAACAAAATTTTAGTTTTGGTCAATAATATTTTGGTCAACGTTATATATTGTTATAGTATTATTTTTTATAACTATTTAGAAATTAAAGCAAATAAGAATATGGAAAATTTTGAAAAATACTACCATTAATTAATATGTTTATAGACTATTTTACCCTTAATTAAAGTTTCATCCAAAATTTCATCGAAACAGCTTCAGATTTCTCCGATGTGATTCCGCCGACACGATCAGATTCTCTACCGGCATTTTTCATCAATGTGATAGTGCCGTTTTATCGAGAATGAGAGGCATTTTGTTCTTCGAATTTACTCTATCTCCAATTTCAATCCAAATCTCTCGATGCTTTCGATAGAGAAGTCTTTCGTCGCTCTCAGCTTCCGCTCCTCCTTCCTCTCTCCTCTCGATGTGCTTCACGGTGACATTGGCGTGCTCTCATCCTGTGATGTTTTCGTTCTTTTCAGAAAATCTAGTCACCGAAGAGCTTATCCGTCTTGTACCCTGTGCCAGAACTAAAGGTGCTACCTATTCTCTCTTACGTCTATTCCCGGTAATCCAATTGCCAGAGTTTGTGATTTTCCGGTTCAGAGGGAGTTGTGTCCATTTAATCTTGCTCATGTGACTTTTACGGTGATCCAGATTGTGTTCGGTGTTGCACACACTGCTAGAAATCTGACCAAAGATCCTTAATTTTTGGCAAGAGCGTAGGATCAGCAAGAGCTTAATTTTCAAGGTATGTTCTCGGAATTGCTCCTTCTGAATTTCAATCGATTATTCTATTATACTGATTTTACTAGATAATTAGATTAGGAACCAGTAGGATTGATTCGAAAGTGATCAACACAACAATGGGAGTGAATGTATTAGCTGTTTTGCGGGTAAAAGATGTTATGAAAAAGAAAGATGAGCTTCCGATTTGTAAAGAAAGAGACCTGATTATGGATCAATTGGTGAATCTGACTAGCAAAAAATGTGGATGTTTACTTGTGGTTGATGAAGATCATCGCTTGCTCTGATAATAGCCAAGAAAAAATTAATAAGTCCATCACAAATTTTTAAGTAACTCCATCTCAGGTCTATTGGTATCCAAATGTTTGCAGAAGCACTTAAGAGTTATAATCTGTACATGAAGAGGAAAACTAGTAATGAAAAGATAGAAAGTCTATATAATCAAAACTGTAAAGCTTCTTTCTTCTCTTTATGCTCAATTCTATAAGTGTTATCCACAGTTTCAATTTGGGGTTGTATTTGTTATCTGTTTGTTCTTATCGAGAACTTTGGCTTGTTTGTCTTGTGCTTTTGCTATGTTTACATGTCCGTTAATGAGCAGCACGAGAAGCGAATCACTAAGGACAAGCCTTAAACCCCTTTTCATGGAGACTTATGTTAATATCTACTTCGTCTTCTAAGACCATCTCCAATCTATTTTGCTATTTTTTCCTTTAATATAGAGGATCTATAAAATAGAGGTAGATTTCTCTCCAATCCACATCTATTTTAGAGGAATACCTCTATTTTAGAAGAAAATATAGAGGAACCTATTTTTTCCTCTATATTTGGAGGAAAAAGTAGCATCTCTATTTTTTCCTCTAAAATAGAGGTGGATTGGAGAACAAAAATGACACCTCTATTTTTTCATCTAAAAGTAGAGAAAAAAATAGCAATAGATTGGAGATGCTCTAAACATCATCCAAAGAAGTTATGGACTGGGCAACACGAGTTAAATCCACTGCTGGTGCAGTTTTTGGACTGGCTTATCTTCCTGAAGATTGTAAGCTTAAACCTTTTTAATTATATCTTCTTGTTTTGGATGCTAACTTTCATAGTGATTAATGAATCATCATTAAAGATAAGTTCTTTGATGTCTTAGTGGTAGGCTCTAAAACCATTTGGCTATTCTTATTATATTTTCTGTTGTTAGGTCATCTGTGTATCATACACAGAGATATTAAGTCATCTAACATTCTTCTAGAGGATAATTTTGATGCTTGGGTATGCATTACTCTACTCTACTTGGCTTTTCAAGGTTTTCATTTACATGATGGCTTTACCAGTCTTTTGATCTCTCATGTTTTGTAGGTTTCTGACTTTGGTCTTGCAAGATTAGCTCTTGATTGGAACATTCACATCACCACACGAGTTATTGGAGCAATTGCTGTCAAGTTTCCTGAGCTTCTAACCCAAAATCAATTGGCAATGAGTAGATTGGCCCAAGTCCTTTATATATTAGTTAAAGTCCTTCCCAACTTCAGATGTGGGACATATATTACACACACTCTCTACAGATTAATGCTTCATGGCCCATTAACCTATATATTATCCAATACTCCCCCTCGAGATAATGACTCTTCTAGCCATTAATCTCGCAGACCATCAATTTTGGATCAAGGAACAAGGCCACTTTTTGGGCCGGAAATAAACCCTAATTAGACCACTTTTGGGTCAGGGTTATGAGAGTGTGTGGATCGGGCTCTGATACCATGTTAAGTTTTCTGAACTTCCAACCCAAAATCAACTGGCAATGAGTAGATTGGCCCAAGTCTTTTATATATTAGTTATAATCCCTCCCAACTTCAGATGTGGAACATATCTTACACACACTCTCTAGAAATTAAGGCTTCATAGCCCATTAACCTCTATATTATCCAATAATTACTCTCCATGGTGGATCTCATTTGCTTAAATAGGAAAAAAAAACAATTCTTTTGGTTATTGCAGACAATGATCGAAAACTGATTTGGATTTTAACGATGTATTACACATTTATAAATATTTTAAAAGAGCTTTTAAATCTTTATAATAACTAAATAATTGTTGAATTAATGATTCATGAGACATATAACCACTAAACCATATCTAATTGTTCCATGTAAAAACATATAGCTATAAACCACATCTATTTATTCTTCTATGTAAAATTTTATTTGTTTATAAAAAATATAGATTGGTTATTTATAAAGATTTTAAAAGAGGATCTTTTTAAATCTTCATAAATGAATTTATAATAAAATCATTTTGTCCAATACTCGAATGATTGTTTGGCATCGTGGCTACATACGCTACCAAATTACCTATAATATTTTCGATTTTGTAAAAAAAATTAAAAGAATTTAAAAATCTCTTTTTTAAATACTTTTTAAAATTTAATAAACACATAACAACATGATTTGCACAATTAACGAATGGGTATGTGGCCCAGTAATTACACATCTCTACTAAAAATCCGGATGTCAAGAATTCGATTCTGCAAAATCCTTTAAAAAGATTTTAAAAAACTTCTTAAAAAGAATAATTCATCATCTTTGACAAACATAATTGAACTTCAACATCGTTGATTTAAAATAGCATCTACGAGATTCTCTTAGACTTCTGGCCTATGTTGATAATTACACATCCCTACTAAGAATCTAGATGTCTGGGTTCAGTTATGCAAAATCATTCTTTTTAAAAGTTTAATAGATACATAACAACAAAACATCTTATAGATAACTAATGAGTGTGTGTGGTTTGGTGGTTACAACTTACAAGCATAAACAAGTTTTTTATATTTATAGTTCCAGACCTAATATAGTTTTAAGATTTAAAAACTTTTTTAAAAACCATTATAAATAACTATATAAATGCATAGTATATATAAACAAATAAATTTCCACATACAACAATTGCGTGTGTGTGGTTTGGAGGTTACAACTTACAAGCATATACAAGTTTTTCATATTTATAGTTTCAGGCCTAATATATTTTTATAAATGATACAATATGGAAAAACACTAAACCAAATGTCTTCATTATCTGGATTTATTATTAGAATTTTGTCTTCAAAATTATAAAATCAAAGGATTCTCATTCAAGTCTAAAGAGAAATTTGTGTCAAGAAGACTTTTATTTGATTTAGCTTATTTTTCTCCTTTTGTATAAATGTAAATAATTTTATTTAAGAGTATTTATTTGTAAAGATCATTTGTAAGAGCTATAAAAGTTCATTGTTCTTATTGTAATAATATATAAAAAAATTTGGAAATTAAAAGAGACTTTTCTCTAAAACTTTGGCATTGTTTTTTGTTTATCGAAGCAAGATGAAATTCTTCACTTAGTAGACATTTGAATCTATGTCTATTGTGTGCGATGCCTTGAGACTAGGTTTGTGAATTCATCACAGGGGCTTTCACACTCTTGAGTGGCGTTCTTCGATCCACCCATCTATTCATCTCATCCACTGATCCAGCCTGAACGAGACTTGAGTCCAGCAGGATTGATCCCATAACCATCCACTTTGATCATCTCTTGAGCAAGTAGAAAGGGACTTCAGTCTAGCTGCGTGCTTCCACCCATTCACCCAAGCATTTTAAGATCATACTCATTGATCTTATATCTTTTGGTACCAGAGCTAAAAGTTCCTATCCTCTATCGTTTTTATTTCTGTTTTGTTTTTTTTTATCAAGATTTCCATTAAAAAAAAAAATTTTGGTTATTTTTATTCATTAATTTTTATAAACTTAAAAAAAAACTCAGAAAAAATAGTTTTATGTTTTTTTTCTTTGATTCATGATTTTTTTTATTTAAAAAAAACCTATAAAAAACAGTGTTTTCCCTTAAAATTGAAGTTTGTTTCTTTCATTTAAAAAAAACAAAATAAACTCTATTTCTATTTATGTTTTTGTTTATTTCGATTTTTCTGTTAAAAAAAGTTTTATTTATTTTCTAAATATCATTTGCTAAAAAGTTTATTAAAAAAAAATTAGTTTTGAGGACAAAACCATTTGAAGAGGGAGAGAATGATACAATATGAAAAACACTAAATCAAATGTCTTCATTATCTGGATTTATTATTAGAATTTGGTGTTCATCATTATAAAATTAGAGGATTCTTATTCAAGTCTAAAGAGAA